AATAATGATGAATAAATAACAGGTCCGCACGTGTAAACCAGTGTAGCTTTGCATTTACGAGATAAGGCAATTTTTATGCTTCAACAGCTCTCACAAGTTCAAGCTCATCAATGAGTGATAGTAACCGATTGATGTTCTGGCAACTTGTAAGCAAAGAGTTGGACTGATTTTCAGATGTGTAGACATCTGTTGAATTTATAGTAAAGTGAAATTGTTAACTAATCACCATGATTATCATGGTGTGTTCCACAATTACTTGGGTTTATTATTACAAAAAGGTATAATATATTAAGGAAAGTATGGAAGAATGCTTCTTTGTTTTTCAATGACATTCAGAAACACACGGCATTCGCGCTCCCGTAAGCTGAGCTAAGGAACAAGGGTAACCTTGGGCGGTGAGGAGGTCTCGGTAGGTGGGCGGGACGACGTAGCGGGGGCCGAGGTGGAAGTGACCGCTATGACCGCGGGGATCTCGCACGCCGCCACCGAGCAGACTTCCTTCTGCATCAGGTCTAGCGAGCAGAGCTTCTTGCCCAGCTGGCTGGTGTACTTCCGGGTCCTGGTGCGGAGCCCTCGCCCGCAGGTGGCGCTGCATGTGCTCCAGGTTCCCCATGGCGTTGTCTCGCACTCCATACTGTACCCAGGGCATGCGGCCAAGGACCGGTCAATGGATCATAACGTTTGGGAATTATACATCGCAACAAGAATAAATCTTTTGTAAAAAAAAAAAGAGATAAATTTGATGAAACCTCGTTAATTCGGTTGTTCAAGATTTCAGTAAAATACCTTGGTACTAAAAAATAAGCGACAAATTTTCTGAATATGCAAAATGTGTCCAGTTAATTAGCATTTGTTAAAATAGCACGTATATAATTCTCTGAGTCTGGTGACAGTAATAAGAAGGTATATGAGATCACGTGGCTCCAAGCTCAGAAGATTGGTGGAACGATTTTAAAAAGAACACATTATATCTTCTTTTGTTACAAAATATTGTAAAATATATCTATGTAACTTTAGATTTGTTTAAAAGGACATTCAAAGACGAACATTCGAAACAAACCGAGCATTTAAATAGTTTTCACATGTTAAAATGGTGAAATATGAATGTTTAACGTTCACGGGAACTCTGAAAACTTTAAATAAATTAAAAACTTTATGATGGAAAAATCTACGAATAGGGAAAGATTCGAGAAAATCAAATTATATAAATATTATAAATGGTAGTGAAAGAATAGATGCAGTAGAGAAAGAGTCGCAGTTAAAATTTGCTGGAAGACTCACGGATAGGGTTGATGCATCTATCAACATTCTTCGGGTGATCGAACAACTGGAAGAAAACATCAGAACTGAAGATGAAAAGTGAGTTTAACGGGCAATTCCCGGTAAAAAAAAACGCTAATCCATCAATTAAAAAGGAAATATACCTAATAACAAAGAAATATCAACTTTACAAGTCAATAAAGCAAATTCTTATTGAGAAAAATAAAAAGGCATCTCCTGATTGTTCAACTAAAGGTGACTCATAGTTGCACAATCAGATGATGCCTTTTTATTTTTTCTTAATTTATACATCTGATCCCCCCAGTACAATTTCACTTTTGTACTATTTTTCCACAAAGTATTATTGATTCTATTCTTTGTTATAAGGAGGACTGCACACTACGCGATAACGTTGAGTAAGATCAAATAATAAATAACGTTACACAGTGCAAATCGACGTTGTAATATGAGTCGTATATAAATAAATAAAGAAGTTTATTAAAACAACCTGTGAAAGTTGTTTGAAGTTTGTTTAAACAAAGTGGATCGATTCGACTTAGAAATTGCCTTCCAAATATTAGATTATACACTGGGCTGGGCCGCTACATCTATGCTGCCATTGTTGGCCATTTTTTTTCTCTTCCCAAAATGAGAAAAATTTTGAAATAAAGTAGAATTTACACTAGAAACGTCATCATAAAAATAATGTAGAGAAAGGTACCGAAATGCATTTGAGAATATTACTTTTAGAAATGTTTAGAATTATACAATAAACGAGGTAAACTCGGTATATATGCGGGGGATGAGTATTGCTAATAATATATTTCAAATCACTCCACCATTTTTTTTCAACCTTGATCATTCCTCGAATTTTTATTGTAAACGTTATGCTTCAAAATACCAATATAATTTTAAAAAATATATTTGATAGTTGTTCAGTTTTTTACGCGTAGCGTTTAACTTAGATAATTCTGATCAAAGGTCAAGAGACCATACAAATTTTATCTGAAGAAACGTAGAATTGAAAATACTGAGCGTTTTGAATTAGCTAAATTTTATAGAAATAGGATTTGTTAGAATTTAGAATTGAGATTCGACTCCATTTTAAATGCCCGAAGCATTGTTAGGCGAGAATGACATATACTGACAAATCAAGATGCTTAATTCAAATAGTTTCAAAAATATTGATTCTTTATTCAAAAGAAAAAATAATCAGACGTTATATTAATAAATATAAATAAAAACAAATTCAGTCAAATATATCAAGAGAAAGCGAAACACACACACAGAAAAACAAAACTGACTAAATTAAAATACTAATGTTTAATTATCAGTTGAAAAGAAAAACTAAACAATTAAGCCACATGAACCAAGCAAAGAAGTCAAACAAAGTAGTTGAACAACAAAATAGATTTGATAGTTCTTCCATATTTTACATAGCGTATAGCTTATATTCGATTATGATAAAAATTCAAGGGGAACCAGGAAAAATTGATATTAAGAAATAGAATTGATTTTTTTTTATTAAAAAGGCTTATATTGAACCAAAATATTATTTATTTTACCAATATTTCACACAGTTGGCTGAACTCCAACCTTTATCAAGGTATTATAACTGTTGTAGATAAACGATAAAAATAACTTTAACTTTTGCTTAATTAATAGGTAGAAAATCTTACTTTTGATAAATAATCTTTAAGATAATAAACTTAGTGATAATAAAACTTATAGATAAAAAAAAACTTGTTGGTATTCAAACTTTTATATAAAAAACTTAGATGTAATAAAACTTATCGGTAAATAAGAACACTATTTATAAACATTTTGGTAGAAACACTTGCTTAAATATATGTTTGAAATAGTGTACTTAACTTGGATAATTTAAGATTGACATTGGATTAAATTTAGGTACTTTAATTAAAACATAAGGATTAAATATGAAAATGTTGGACGCGCGTTTAAATGGCGTCGCTTTTCTTCTTGATAAAAGTTCTTTCGGCTTATTTTTTCCGCCACGCATGCGCATCACCTCTGATTCTTCGTCATCAACTACGTAACGCACCACTTCTCACCGGCGGTGGCGCCGCCAGGGGAGCTTAGCTAGATTTGGTCAATCTAGCCACTCCATACTCCCGGCCGGGCCTGTGGTTAGGGTCAATTCATTCTGTATGCAATTCTACAGTTCTGACCAGCATATCTAGACCGTGGAAGGTTTTTGATACTCTACCAAGTATCCATGAAGGAGAACTGATGCTTTGTTCCATGATCAAGACTAAATCTCCAATTTTTACATTTGGTTTGGCTGATTTCCACTTTCCCCTTTTCTGGAGATTTATGATATATTATTTTTTCCAACGCAAAATGAATATATATTTTTTTAATTCTTGGATATGTTTCCATCTTGAAGATAGGTTAATACTTAAATTTGTTTGCTGGTTGTCTGTTTCTGGTAAGTTAGATGTGCTTGGGCCTGAAAGGAAATGTGCTGGAGTTAGAGCTTCAAGATCATTAGGATCTTCACTTAAGGGGGTTAATGGTCTTTGATTTAGTGT